TCTTTGTAGTTTTATCCACTATATTTATGCTTTTATGACTAGAACCAACTTTGAATTTCAAGTTGGGATAAGTCAACGAGGCTTTTAGCCATGTTTTGAAGAGAATACTGTTGCTTCTTTAAAACTAAGATAACAGAGTATTTTGTGAATTACAGATTCAGGTAATATGTCGCAGGGGGCTGATCTCTATAATTATTGTGTTTTGTTTTTTTGTTAAAATTTAAATATAGTTGAAATTCATCTCTAACTTTTATAGTGCATTCAAAAGTTTCGATGTTGTCTTTTTGAACTGCACCATAAAATTGTGAAGAGTTCTAGATGTAATAGGAGCTTCCTTACGCGTAACTGGTTCCCAAGGAATTGTATCATCTTCAAAAGAAATATATTGCAATGAACCATAAACATACGTTGTACTTTATGTATAATGAATTTATTTTGACGTGAATTCGTAAATATGATACATAATTTAGTAAGATATAATAATTTTAATGTATTCATTGCACTTTATGTATGATAAATTTATATTTTATATAAATTCAATAAATATGATACATAAATTAATAAGATATCAATAATTTTGATGTAATAAAAAATAACCTTGATTGAATCTCAAAATACTCTTTCGATTAAATAATACATCTATAAAATAATAATATTTTATTGTCCCACCTATATTAATTTAGTGGGGTTTAACTGTATTGTGAACTTAAAAGCTACAACAATTGAAAGGAAAATGATTCCCTTTTATAAATGAGGAAAATCTTTTTCCTCCTAATTTTATTGACTTTTGTCACAATTCAGACACACATTAGAGAGACAATGACCAAATGCCCCTCAATCTATTACCGAATTTTTAACTACAAATTAATACTTTATACCCTCTTGAAATATTTTAAATTGAGATATTAACACCCTTTAAACGTCACCTCAAATCTTTGTTGCCTAGTATAATATACACGCCTATTTATTTTTTTAGAATCAAAAATAAAAGAAAAAAATAATCTTTCCAATTTTCTCCACCATTCTTGCCCTAAAATCTCATCACCATTCTTCCTCTTCCTAAATCATTTTATTTTTTTCTTCATTGTTCCCAATGTCTCATCTCCTTCCGTCCACCTTCATCTCCACCACACCACACCACACCCACCAACCTCTGCCTTTTTTTTAATGTCTTTCCAATCATCTATTTGCACAAAACTCAATTGTTATTGTTAAATTTGATAGATTTGCTATCATTGTTATCTTCGAAGATAGTTCTCTTCCTGTTGGTTCTCAATTGCACTTCTAGATATGCCCATTCCTCCTTTGATGACTCCCAGTAGAGAAAGGCTCAATTTTCCGATGTGGATTGAAAGGAAGTTGGGATGGACAGTTCTTGCTCCGGTTGGTTTACGAATCAAAGGAGACTAACAAACTACAACAAAAGCAAGTGCGCCGATCGGATTGACTAAACCAATGCAACAATCAAGAATTTGAAGATGAAATTTTTCTTGAGAAATCTCACATTCTAATACCCACTTCCAATTGTAGTAAAGAAACTTCAATTACTATTGTAAACAAAAGATGTCTCCGATAAAAGTTACAATTTTGTCTTTCGAGGTCGAGATAAAAATATCTTTTATCGAGGTGAAGAAATTGAAGGGTACTTTTTTCTTTCTTTTATTGTTCTGTCTAAAATTAGGGGGAAGATTTTGAAGGTGTTATTATTGAAAAAGTATTTTGTGAATTAAAATGAAAGTATGAAAAAATAAAATTCTTCTTGTATTGATGCTAGCTAGCCATGGCAGTTGACCGAGTTGAAGAGACGTAATTTGTAAAAAGAGGGGAGGGTTAGAGATGAAAGAGTGTGTGTGATTTTAGCTAATTAAATTTATTAATCATTATAGTATCTAATTAAGAAGTGAGTTGTCAAATTAATTAATTTTGACTTGCTTATTTGCCTCACACTTGCCAATAGGAAAGTGAATACACTAGCTATGCCACATCACCATCTAAGGGTGTCAATATCTCTATTTAAAATACTTCAAGGGGATAATAGGACCCCATGAAGTATTGACGTGTAATTGAGAATCAGACAATCTGGCCATTTTTTCCACATTAAGGGTGTGTTTGGTATACATTTCCAATTTTCCCATGTTTGGTTGACTTTAAATGTTTAGAAAATGTTTTTAAAATCAACCATTTTCCTCAAATTTAAGGAAAATATTTTTCCAAATCTCTACTTTATCCTTTAATTTTTTTTCTTACCCTACCCATATCCTGTACTCCACCCAACCGATTTTTTTTTTTTAAAAAACTATTTTTAGGAAATATTTCAAATTTTAAAAAAAAAAACATTTTTTATGCCACCCCTCCCCCTACCCAAGCCACCTCCGTCAATTTTTTTAAAAAAATTATTTTTGAAAAATATTAAATTTTTTTTTTCATTTTTACGCCACCCCCTACCCCTATGCCCTTACCCCCCCCCCCCACCCCCCACGTAGGCCATTCCCATCAAATTTTTTTAAAGAAAAAAATGTTTTTAGAAATAAATTCAAATTTCAAAATTTTTCATTTTTAACGCCAACTCCACCCCTATCCCCCTCCTCCCTGCCCCACCCCATCAATTTTTTTTTTGAAAATTGTTTCAAATTTTTAAAAACTTCATTTTTTATGCCACCCCCTCCCCGTGGGACCCCGTCAATTTTTTTAAAATAATTGTTTTTGAAAAAAAATTTCGTGGGTTGAAAGTTTGGGTCAGGTCCTAGGTCGAATTTTGGAACGATCATCCGGGTCTTGTCCTAGTTTGGGTATCGGGGTCGGGTCCTAAATCAATTATCGGGGTTGATTTTCAGATTAGAAATTATTTTTCTAAAGAGTATTTTTTAGTCTCAAGCCAAAAATAAAAGATATTTTCTGAAAAATATTTTTCATTCACTAATCAAACATTAAAAAATATTTTCTACTCACCAACCAAACATGAGAAAATAAGTTAAAAATCCACTTGTTTTCCAAGAAAACATTTTCCATGAAAAACATTTTCCTTCACACCAAACACACCCTAGATGGAGGAAATTTCACAAATAGAAAAGAGATTAAATTTAATAAGCCTCCTTAGCTACAATTTGCCTAATTATGCTCCATGACTATAGTTTTGTTTGCTATGGGTATTTCCATTAGTATAATTCGCTTGTTAATATTAGGGCTGGGTATTCGGTAATTCGGTTCGGTTTCATTTTTTTTTCTTCGATTTTTTCGATTTTCAATTCTTGTAATAAGTGTACCGAACACCGAACCGAAATAATTCAGTTCGGTTCGGTTTTTTTATTTCGATTCGGTTTATGTTATTTCGGTTATGTTTTTCTTGAAAACAAAAAATAATCACAATATAAGTTACCTCCTGGAGTGCTGGTCACCGCCTCGCTGGTCGGTTGCTTCTGGATTCTGGTCGCGGCGGTCGGTTGGTCGGCGCCGGGAAGTGGGAAAGTGGTCGGCGATCGGCTGGATGTTGGCGATGGGAGACGGAGGAGTAAGGAGTTTGAACTTTGAAAAGTTTGTGCAGTGTGCGGGATGAAAAATTGAAAATTTTGAAAAGTGTGCGGCGATGAAAAGTGAAAACTTACAAAAATTGAAAAGTCTTGACCTAATTTGCATTTTTCCTATAATATTTAATATTAAGAATTAATATAATAATAATATATATTATAATATAATATATTTCGATTAAACCGAAATATCGAAAAAACAAAAATTACATACCGAAAACAGAATAAAAAATATGAAAATATATATCGAAAACCGAAAACCGAAATGCTGAAACCGAAATACCAAAAAAATTTGATTCGGTTCGGTGTTTCGGTTTTTCGGTAATTATGCCCAGCCCTAGTTAATATACAAACGTGATAAGTCCGTTTGTAGAATTTGCTTGCCAATAATACAAATTAAATAGGGTAAGTATATATAAATTATGTATTTATACATTTAGAAATTTTTCAGAACTTATACAAATCAAATGTATCAACAAGATAATTATATACAAGATAGGGTAAGCATATACAAATTCTGGATTTATACAATCATACAAATTCTAGATTTATACAATTATGAGCCGAATTATAAAATTTCTGGACATGGTAGCGTAAATTAGGCCTAATTAACTAGTATATGTTTGCTTAGTCGCACAATTTTTCGTTTTTTAAATATACTCATGTGGAATAAAAAATTGTTCTCAAAGACAAGGATAAAGTTGATGTCGTTTTTACTATAACAATCAATTGGAATATTGAAGCACTATCATTATTAATTAATAAAGCACTAATTGTTGTTTACCTACCATTCATTAGTGGATTAATAATGCAATAATTCAGACTCATAAAATACACATTCCAGTGCGTTTGTGCCATTACCGACTCGAATTATTGTTTGATCTCCTCACCCATCTCTCTGTACTAGTCAACACCTTGACCCGTATAGTATTTTGATCTACCACCAATCAGTTAATAATCGATTGATCGATCTATCACTGAGTAACTGAGAAATAACAGGAGATTCGATAAGTTAAGATTGAGGTGAGTTATACTGATTCATAATTTATTTTCATACTTCAAGGAAATCTTTATCCTCTGAATCTATATACTCTCCCATCCCAATTTAAGTTTCTTAGTTTGACTTGGCACATAGTATAAGAAAAAATATAAAACTTTAAATGTTGTGATCTTAAATTAAAGATGTGTTCAGTCTTTTAAATCTTGTGATCATAAATTTGTCATGCAAAATGTTGGAATTGGAAACTTACTAAATATAGAAAGCGACACTCACTCTTGTTGGATATATGTACACAAGTTCATAAGAATGAAGCTAACAAGTTCTTTACACCCAACCCAATTTTTACTGATATTGAAATTCTAACAATATCAGTAAAAATAGAAGTTCTAACAATAGATATTGAAAGACATGAATAAAAATGTTGTTCTTAATATTCTAAGAGTTGGTGAACTTTCAGGAATTTTCTACATAAGATCATGAATCACAAAGACATCGAATGTACGTTTGATCACTTAAGAAGGATCATGAGTGGAGGCAATCTGAACAGCGTCAAGATTGATCAAATCGAGACACTTGAAATGGAGCTAAGATTTTTCACAACTTTTCTCAAATACCATCATGTTCTTTTGCCCGATTCCTTAGTCAAAATCACAAAGAAGGCCCAATTGATTGCGGAAATGCTTCAGTCATTTCTTGGTGGAATTCCAAATGAATATCAAATTAAACTTAATATCGAAAGGCTAGTATCACAGTTGTGGGAACTCACAGAAGGTAATACTAGTTTAAGATACAATTACGAGTTTAATGATTCCTACCTATTGGAATATATGGATTGCCTCGACAAAAATCTAAATGATGTACCAATGTGTGTGGATAGGTCTGACCTTTCTCTTAAGAATGAAAAACTAATCCTTCAGGAAAATCGATTTTCAAAGCAAGTGAAAATCCTTCAAAAGAAAATGAGATTCTTGAGATACTTATATGCCACTGAGATAAGAGGTTATGTTGACCATGAGAAGCTGGAATGTTTGGAGATTCTAATTCATTTCATGGCTAACGATGTGGCACAGTTCTGTCTTGCTGTTTGGGTTAACGATGGAGATGAGGTTGATGATGATATAGCTTCAGATGAGGTTGATGATTATCTAGGTCCAGTTGAGGATGAAGATGAAATAGATGATATCTTGAGTAGACCTCCTTATCTGTTATGCTTGATTGCGCTAGTGGAGCTGGAAATGAAGAAGATTTTTCATAGTGAACTAAAGGCTTCAAAGTTTACTCAATCAAGAAATTTCAAGGACAAGAAATTACCAAAAGAATTTTCTAAACATCTCTACAATCTGCTGATGAGTCTCAGAAACAAAAAGATGGAGAACTTTTGTAATAATGTCTATGCTCGAAATATTGATGTGGAGATAGAGTTCTTATTGATTTTTCTTTCTGATGTACCAAATAGGTTTATTAATGGTAAGAGGTTGAAAGAGATCTTGGAAAAGGCGGGAGTTCTTGTGGGTGATGTTCTATATGTAATTCAAAAGATTCTTCCCAGCTCTATAATCAAAGATGATAGTAGCAAGATAAATCTTTTCACGAAACAGATATTGGAGAAAACTGAAAATCTGAAGGCACAAGTGGAGAGGTACTACAGATCCTTCAAATTCATTCCATCTCAGTTTCCCGCTGTTGGTGGATTGAGCTTTTTGGTCTCTCTTTTGAGAAAAATGAATGAGATGTTGAAACTTGGATCAGGTTTAAATTTCATGATAAAACCTCATATTGTTATTTTAGAGAGAGAGCTCTCATATCTAAATTCCACTTTCAGAGATATTGAGAAGCTGCATCATGAACATGAAGATATTCTGAGAGCTACTATCAATTTGGCATATGAAGCTGAAGTTGCCATTGACTCTATTCTTGTTCAATATAATGGTCTTTGGCATATTTTTTGCTCACTTCCTGCAATCATAAAAGAGATCAAGCATATTAGTGTGAAGGTGACCGAGATGAGGCTTAAGAACATTCCTCTTAAACCCTTCTCTATGGTTGAGCCATCTAAACATATACCAGATCAACATCATAATAGTCTTATGAATGATGAGGATATAGTGGGTTTTGGGATAGTAGCAGAAAAAATGATTCATTCTCTTACTCGAGGGACAAATGAGCTAGATGTCATACCAATTGTGGGAATGGGTGGACAAGGTAAAACAACGTGTGCTAGATTGTTGTATAATAACAAAATCATTGTTTCTCATTTTGATGTTCGAGCATGGTGCGTCATTTCTCAAACATATAATCGGAAAGAGCTATTACAAGATATTTTCAGTCAAGTTATTGGTTTCAAGGTCAAGGTAGATGAGGTTGGTGAACTTGCTGACATGTTGCGGAAAAGCTTATTGGGAAAGAGATATTTCATTGTCTTGGATGATATGTGGGATGGCATGGCATGGGATGACTTAAGATTATCTCTCCAAGATGGTGAGAATAGAAGTAGAATTGTAGTGACAACTCGACTTGAGAAAGTAGGTGAGTATGTCAAGCACCATACTAATCCTTATTTCCTTCCATTTCTCACACTAAAAGAGAGTTGGGAATTGTTGAAAAAAAGGGTGTTTCATAAGAGATCTTGCCCATTTGAACTGTACGATGTGAGTCTAGAAGTGGCAAGAAGATGCAAAGGATTGCCCCTAGTGGTCATCTTGGTAGCTGGAATAATAAAAAAGAAGATGGAAGAATCGTGGTGGCACGAGGTTAAAGATGCTCTATTTTCCTATCTTGGTGAGTCTGAAGAGTATAGTCGGGAGACTATGCATTTAAGTTATGATAACTTACCCGATTATTTAAAGCCTTGCCTTCTTTACATGGGGATGTTTCCAGAGGACCACAACATTTCAGCATCTACATTGACAAATTTATGGATTGCAGAAGGTTTCGTGCAAAACGTTGAATCTGGAAGATTGGAGGAAGCAGCTGAAGGTTACTTGATGGATCTCATTAGCAGTAACGTGGTAATGGTTTCAAAGAGAGGAAGATATAACGGTAAAGTCAAATACTGCCAGGTTCATGATATAGTACTTCACTTCTGCTTGGAGAGGAGTAGAGAAGAAAGGTTTATGTTGGCTGTGAAGGGGAATTATAGCAACTTCAAACTTTCTGATTGGAAGGAAAGTCGAGTGAGTTTCAGTTTCAGTTATGAGCTTTCTGAGATTGCATCCAAAACACGGAAGCCCTTCCATCAACACTTGAGGTCACTAAGAATGACACTAATTGAAGGTGAAGTTTCTAATTGGAATTCATTTAGCCAGTTTAGTAAATTGAGACTTCTTAAGGTTTTGAATTTGAGTTCCCATATAGTGGGTCATTTGTCGTCAGCTACATTGCAACCACTAATTCACCTGAAGTACTTAGCAGTTTGTGCAAGGAAATTCGATTTTCATCCCGAATCACTTCTTCCCCATATAGAAACGTTAATTGTGCTGTGTCCATTCATGCATACAGTGTTACCACCGATTTTTTGGAAAATGAAAACATTAAGGCATGTTGAGATTAATGATGCTGTTTTTGATTTGAAAAACAACAAGAAGTGGATCTCTGAAGAATCCTCTAAATTGGAAAATTTGAGGCTATTAAAGCAAGTTGCAATTAAAATTGGTGGTGATGATAATGTCGATGTATTATTACGGAGGTGTCCTAATCTTCAAGAACTTGAGATTGGTATCTTGTGCGATGAAGATTCTGTAGAGATTTGTCAATTGGAAAGTCTTACACAGCTTCAAATACTTCGCCTTTCCATTGACTCGTTCCGGTTAAATGTATCCAAGTTACACTTGCCTTCAAATTTAAAAAAGTTAGTACTATGGGGGGCTCGTATAGAAGACATAGTTTCTTCCATTGGGGGACTTCCAAGTCTGGAGTATCTCCAGTTAGTGCTTCCAATTTTTGTTCAATTAAAAGAGTGGTGCCTTGGAGATGTCACATTCCATAAACTAAAGTTGTTGAAATTGGAGTACTTAAACATCTCAAGATGGGATGCCTCTGAGGAATCTTTTCCCCTGCTTGAAAGGCTTGTTATAAAAAAGTGTCACGAGCTCGAGGAGATCCCACTTGGCTTTGCAGATATTCAAACACTGAAACGGATTAAGTTGGTTCAGTGCAAGAACAAATCTCTGGAGGCTTCAGCTTTGAAAATTAAGGAAGAAGCCGAAGCTATTGGAGGAAGCGACATAATTGACCTCATAGTGAAAGTAAGTGGAAACAAACTCTTATGTGAATCATTTGAGGTACCTAGCTATAGGCATCTAATGTGAAAATAATGTTTTTCATACAGGATTTTTTCTAGAGCTATTTATCGCAGCTATGAGCCATGTTCTTGTCACAACTACATGGTATTGTTTTCAGAAATTAATTTCTTATTTTTGTTCATTTTTTATTAGATTATTTCTTTCTGTTAATAGTTCTGTGTTGGTCATGGATGTTTTAAATTTGACAATTGCTTAGAGTCTTCGACGACTGCAGAAAAAGCAGAGGCAGAGTGCATAGAGTTCATTCATCTTGCACCTTTGATGCAGCATAAAGCATGAGAAAAGTAGTAACATTGAGTTACTTGGTTTCCCTCTCAAGGAACTTACTCTTTACAACGGCCTTCTTAAGGTCACAAAAGTAGTCAAAATTTCGACAAAGTACAGCTTTGTGACTCTGTCAAACAGAATCAGAGAAATATTAACATCTAATGAGTATAAGTAGTTCTTTAATTGTGCATCCGAATATAATAAGCCAATAAATTTAGCTTTTCGCAGCATCGAAAACTTAGATGAATTTGACTTTGCAAGGTTTTCTTAGAAGGAATAAGTTACACAAGTATTTCCACTTTTGCAAGAAATGTTTTGACAAGGGTTTCTCTCTTAGGGTGTGTTTGGTACGAAGGAACAATTTTCTCATGTTTGGTTGGATTAAATGTTTTGGAAAATCAACTTATTTTCCTCAAATTTAAGGAAATTGACTTCTCTTCAAAAATTAATGCACAAACATTTCCACTGCTGATAAATCTACCGTCAACTAAATCTACTCTACTCGACATGATTGAGAGATTAAGAACCAAAGATTGGAAGTGATTGTGTTTCAATTTATTAAATTTTGGTAAAGGGACAGGATGCAGCAGTCACCAGGTGTGTCAAATAAGTTCTAGACTAGTACAACTGTGCTTGATCTTGTTAGGGAAGAAAGAGTGGAAGAGAGCATTGATCTCACAAAGCTCCTCTGGACAGCACAGCTGATATTGAAGGAAGCACTATAACAAAAGGAGGCAACACCATCGTTAACTTGATCATGCTTGGTACTGTCATTGTGTGACATTAATATTATCAAGTCACCGCCACGACATTCATTTTTTTCCTTTGTTCTGTTAGGATAAAGGTTTTGAAGATGCAAAGCAGGTTATAGCAGCTTTAAAAGATAAAGGCATATCTGCTATTGGAGCAGCAGGATTTTGCTGGGGTGGTAAGTTGTTCAACTTTCTCTTTAAGTATTATTCATCCCTTGCCCGCCTAGGATGTATAGAGTCAATTTCTTGTAGTTGTCTGACCTTGTGTTTTCTGAGAACATTCAAGCTGCAGTGCCTATTGCACCTGTCGTTTGTCTCTGTGGATGATTTTAAGGGTACAGTTGTTTTTTACCAGAACCATTTGTGATCGGATTGAGCTATTAGTCTTACTCCTGGATTTTATACAAGTGTCTTGCATAATATTGGACAAAGCATTGGATGTCTCAAGTCCTAATATTGCTGTTGTATCGTTCAAAGTCTAGATTCATTCTTATATGAAAAACTATTAAGTGCTTTCAGATATTCCTCCATCTTAAGTAGTATTTGATATTAAGTGTTTTTTTGAATTATGATGAGTAGATTGAACCACATCATTTTTTTTTTTTAAGACTCTTCTTGTTTCCTTTTTCCCTCTCCCGAACGGAGCTGATGATGTATCTATTTGCAGAGGTGGAGGCACCAATAGCTATTTTAGGAGCTGAGATAGAGCACCTATCTCCTCCTGAGCTTGTTAAGCAGTTTGAGGAGATTCTATCATCAAAACCTGAGGTACGCGAACATTCCTATGTTTAAAAATGTCTTAATTTTAGAAAGACGACTTATCTGTGAAATAGTTCACTCCTGTTACAGAGTTCTTGATTTATCCTTCCCTTTTCTTTTGTTGCCGTCTGTAAACATAGGCGGACAGCCTTGTGAAAATATATCTTGGTGTTGCCCATGGGTGGACTGTGCGATACAACGTGGAGGACAAGAAGGCTGTGCAGAGTGCCCAAGAAGCTCATCAGGATATGTTGAACTTCTTTGTATGCGTTTAAGTAAAATGTATTTTAGTGGTAAACTTGTATCTTTCAATCCTGTTTTGTCAATGCCACCATTACAATGGAGTTTTGAGATTCTTCCAGGAAATCAATAAATAAGTGTTTATACTAAAGATTTAAGCATAAATAATCAAGACTCATACAATCTTTAACTACAAAAATCATCAACTTGGAATTTCAAACAAAGTAAAAAATGGGGACAACATTTAAACATCAATCACAAGGAGGGGACACTGTGCAAAAAATTGGTGTTTCCCCCTTTAATTGGCCTTACGCGACACGAATTCAGATTTAATGGGCGTTTATGTGGTGTGAATACATATTAATCAGGGCCCTAATGTATATATCAAATACCAAATGAAAAACCAAAAAAGATGTGAAAGTTACACAAATCAGAAATCCATATTAATGTGTAACAGTTGATGTGAGGCCAAAAATATATATTTTAATCAATTTTTGCCTCTCATTTATTATTATTATTTGCCCTTTTTCAGCATGGATTTTATGAATTATGCTAAATAGTGTATTTTAATTGTAGGAGTAAATTGGTGTAAAGTTAAAGAAGTTTGAAGCTAAAACAAATTAAAGACGGAAGATTATAGAAGGAAATCAAGCAGCATAATGGATTAAATTGAATATTATATTCTATTTATATATATTCCATCGTTCAAAAGAATACAAAGAAAACATACGTGTGAGGCTGTGACATGTGGCAAAGAAGAACACACTTCCTCGATGACAGCCACCGTTCACGCGGAATTCAATGCCGTTTGGGCTTTGGTTTCCCAATTTATTTTTAACTCAATTATTTTATTTAGGATTTTCTACCTCCTATGAATAGTCCATAGAAATAATTATTTGGAGATAAAAATATAGGGCATCAAAGTATAAAGTTGTCAATAGTTTTTAGGGTTCTTTTTTTCTTCTTATTTTCTTAGAGATTAGTGGAACGCCCTTGTTCTGGGGCTATAGCTACGGATTGATTGTTGAATATTAAAGGTTTTTGAATTAATTCTTGGTTATCGTTTAAGTTACTTTTATATTCTTGTTATGGTATTTCTTGACTGACCATCTAGAGATAAATAAATATATTGTTTATTCTTAAAATTGAGAGAGGAGAGGGTAGATAGACTAGAGAATATAAAAAGCTCGATCTTCCATTGAGTTGATGTGTGTTCATGAGTGACGCCCGGACGAACAACTTGCTTGGTTACGAAACATGATGAAATATAAATGCTTGCCAATTAGGCCTGCTATCCCTGCTCAACGATGTAGTTAGACAACTAATTGGAGTAGGCGACTAGAGGTCGAGAGACCTGACTCATACAATTAACTGTGTAAATCAGTAACTTGATAAACTAAATTAGTTCATTGCCTGAGATACGATACATGAAGTCCAGCACATGCTGCAGCTCTGGAACTTTTCAAATCACTGTAAGTAATTTTATTATTTTATTCCTGCATTCTTTTCTTTTGCCACTCTTAAATAGATAATTAGACCAGTATAATTTAGTAAAATTAGTTAATTGACAAGTCCTTTGGGTTCAATAATCTGGTTCTTTTAAGAGCCATTATATTACTTGCGCAACCATGTACACTTGCGTGTGCAATTGGGAGCAACAAGTTTTTGGCGCTGCTGCCAGGGACTTAGAAATTAACTATTCTTCTAGGTTATACTTTTTTTTCTTTTTTTTTAAAGTGTTTTTTTCTAAACAATTAATTTTTTTTCTTTCTTTGAATAATTTGGTACTCTTATTGATATGGGTGATTGAGATAAATCGCGGTTGAGTGATGAGTATTCTTATAAACATCCTTGTAATTATTGTAATGGACACAACTTGGATATCGAGTGTCCTATATGTCATATATGTGGTCGTCAATATATTCATTGGAATGGTTGTCCTAAATCTTATTCCCTTCCCCCGAACCCCTATTATGATTCTTCTGTTATTTGTGATGGGCGATGAAGTGGAGAGTGCAAAACAAGAGGCGCACCATGTGAATTCATTTATGGAATGTACGGACATGCTTGACAAAGTTAATTAAAAAATTATGGAACAAACATTTGAATGCGTGGAAGAGCACAAAAATTTCATGAAATTACTTGATAAGGTTGACGATATTCAATTGGAAATTATAGTCCTAGCTAAATGAGAGGAAGAGATTGAGTCCCAACAAGGAGAAAGTTATGAAGAAACAGAGATAGTGAGTCAATCTTGACTACAAGAACAAACTCAACTTCTAAAGTTTCAAGAGTCTATCCGTGATGGTCTGACATACGTGACAACCCAACTAATTGAAGGAAGAGTTGAGCTCACACAAGAAATAAATCAATTTGGTTAAGATATTCATGACTTAGAGGCTCACTTGAACAAAAAGATTGAGGCGTCTGAAGCCCAATAACCAATTGTCATGGATGATGACCAACTAGTGGAGTAAAAAGAGGAATTCCAACCATTCAACTATACTTTATTCCTTAATATCGATGTTGAGAAAGAGTACAAAAGTGAGAATGTTGTAAATAATGCTGTTTGGAGTTGAGGCAACTTGAATCTCACCCAAAATATTTTTCTATATCATCTGAACTAATGGATGAGTGTATAGATGAGGAACAAGTCCCCTACATCCTAAAGTTTTTTAGTCCACATAGATAAAACGACATTCCTCACTTAAGGGCCAAGAAGTGCAAGATGCGACATAAATTACTTGGTTCATTTATTTTTATACCACCTCCCCTAGAGATGAGGAGAAAAATTGATGCAAAGTTAGGTGTACAATTCATAAGTTCAAAGTGGAAAGAAAAGTGGTGAACTTACTTGTGTCGTGCCGCGATGTTAAATTAGGCGCTTATTAATTGGGAGGCAACCCAATTTATAGTAACTTCTTATTTTATTTTATTTTTGTGTTGTTTTTATAGGTTTTGGAGAAGTCTGAGTATCCAAAATTTAGAGCTGAGGAGCATGTTTGAGGTTAAGTGTGGGGTGACGACCCTTGATGAAAATTGAGAGAACATGCTACTAGCTAGGCCTAAAGGCCTCAGGGAGTTTTTCTAACCCTTGTTTTAAATTTTATTTGATGCTTTGGGGACATAACATCTTTTTAAGTGTGGGGTGGAGAAATAAATTCCTAGTTTTTATTGTTTTATTGAGTCCTTTATTTTTTTAGCATAAGTTCCTTGGCTTTGATTTTCGGTTATTTTCTTGTGGATAGTCCCTTTGAACCGAGTGTCTTTTTTTTTTTTTAGGAATAAGTTTTCTTTTAATTTTTTTGAGAGAAAAGAAAAGACCCTTTTGAGTGGTGTGATACTTGCTAATTAGGCCTAATTTTTGAGTAGTACTTTCTTGTGAATGCTTGATTGATAAAAAAAATTACAAACTCTTTGACATCTAAGCTCATGGTTGTGACTTTGTATATAGCTTATTTTATTTTGTAGTTTGTTATGATCCTGTCTCTCTTAGAAGCGGAATTGATCTATCTTGATTGATACTTGTGCCATATGTGGTGAGATTTTGTTTATTCCATGTTTTGCATCTTAGTCTAGAACTTATCTTGCATGTTATTGAAGCGAAATAAAAAGTGTTGCTTTATTTAGGAGATGATAATAGGCTTTCTTTGATTTGTCTTGTAAATTTTAGTTTTTTCAGATAAAATATCCCTAGTATAGCCCCATTGAGACTTTTAGCCTTAATTTTGTTCTAACCTACTTAATTGAGCCGAATCCTTTTTATTGATACCGTTAGTTTTGATCCCAAAGTAATCCTTAATGCACTATGTTAAGATGAAAAAGTGAAAACAATGGTGAAAGTAGATAGGATGAAAATCCTTGGTCTTGTGGTAAAGAAAGAAAAGAGGTAGAAGAATGATGCCTCATAAGTTCCTAAATCTCTAATTGGCCTGGTCCCTGAGACATTGTGCACTTCGATTAGGGTTAAAAGCCTAAGTTGAAGGTGGTTAATTTGAAGAATACCTTAATAATGACCTTGGTCCTTACAAGGACAACGTGCACCTTAACTCGTGAGAAATTCATAAGTTGAGGGTGGCTATTGTTAAGTGTGGAAAAAAAGAGAGAGAAAAAGGGGTTTGTAGAAAATAAGGGCTCAAGTGAAAGAGAGGGCAAGAATTTAAGTACAACTGGAAAAATATGCAGAAAGGGGGACCAAAGGGAAAGAAAACGTTGTGAATGTAGCAAGAAAATCAAAACATGTGCATTAGGGAGGATGAGTCACTAATTTTACCAAAATGTATCCTCCCTTACCTCAAGCCTACATTACAACCCGTTAAAGTCATATTTGATTCTATTCAAGCATGTGTAACATCCGGTAATTTGAAATATCTATGAAGAGGCTTAAAATCGGAAATAGTCATTTTTGGAATAAAATTCAAATCTAGGAATTTGGTTAAGTGTGGGAAATCAGTGAGTTTTGGCCAACTTTGAGCAGTCATAACTCCTAGCTCAGGATGAGTTAGGAGTAGTTCCAGTTATGATTGTGTAGCTTGTGGAATGATCTTTCCAACGCCACCAAGTTTACTCGATTCTGAGTTTGTATGAGCGAGTTATCCCCTTTGAAAGTTGGGCAGTTGGCCGGGAATCCGTCCGGAAATTTTAAGGGCATTTTGGTCTTTTCCCTAGCCATTTCTTTTGGGGTTATATTGTTGTGTTAGGCTAATTTGTGGATCATTTGGTCCCATTTTAAAGAGTGAGAGCTAGGGCTTGTGAGGGAAGAGGAGAAGAAGGAGAGGAAGAAGAGAAGAAAGAGGAGATCAACAAGTTTCCGTCAAAGATCGTCGTGGATATCGTCGGGGGTGATCCCTATCAAGGTATGTGAGTTCTTAGTGTGGGTTGATCCTTTCCCCCACACACCAAACTCATTATTATTGAGAAAGATTGGATATGTTGTTGAAGTTGTTGGGTTGTGTTGTTGATGTTGTTGATTGTGTTGTTGAAGTTATTGTTGGTTGTGGGACATGATTTGGTTGTGTGTTTGAGTTGAATCTCT